CACGCCAGCAATAAAGCTGTGTTTTTTGAGTTTACCTTTTGACTCTGTGAGTTTGCGTTTGGGTCCTACTCTTGCCTGCACACAGCCGTATTGTGACACTTCCTGGTTACAACCATTTAACCACATCCCTAGTTATCAAAAGGTAACCTCCCTTCACCCATATACAGTGCTGGGAAGGTTACTTTTAAAATGTATTCCACTACAGATTACAGATTACATGCCCCAAAGTGTATTTTGTAACATATTCCATTACATTACTCAATGAGAGTAACGTATTTTGAATACTTTGGATTACTTAATATATTATCATGCTTTTTACAACTGCATGAATGTACTATTGCTGTGTGATTTATTACTTTTATTGAAGGTTATTCGCCACACCAATACCAACTAGATTTTTAAATCTTAATATAAAATGAGTAACAGTAGGGTGGACATTAGGTAAGCCTGCACTTTTTGCAGTGATCTTTTATAGAAAACTATTCCGCACGTATATAAAACAGGTCAGAGGCTCCAAACTGTAAAGGGACCTCTGGCTAATCTGGCTCGTAGCCGAAAACTAGCTTTACTTTGTTGTCTGGGTCAACTTTGCTAGTGAGAGACAGAGAGTCGTTGAAAGGCTGCTCTAAAGGAGCTTATTGTTTCGGAGGAAAACATGAACACAGTGTACAGTCGAGTCTTAATAGCTTATTTACAACTGGGCTACACTGCCCATGAGGCTACATTCTTTAGGACTAAATGGCCTGCTCTAGTCCATAGGACCCCAAAGCGCTTTACACTACATTCAGTCATTCACCCATTCACACACACATTCACACACTGGCGATAGCAAGCTACATTGTAGCCACAGCTGCCCTGGGGTGCACTGACAGAGGCGAGGCTGCCGGACACAGGCGCCACCGGGCCCTCTGACCACCACCAGTATGTGCCTGTAACACTCCGCCTATTGCTTTTTGAACAATAACTTTTAAAAATATTTCTTCACATCATTATGCGGGCCGCAAGTAGAGGTGACATGGGCGGCGAGATTGAGACGCAGGCATTAGAGCCTCTTAATGGGTGTTTTGTTTGGGTTTCCACCGGCGTAGAATTACCAAAAGTAGAGAGGGCACAGACTAACATGAAACAGGAAAAGACCGGTGTGTAATCCATTTATTTCAACAAAGTAACTGTATTTGGAATACCACCTTTTTAAATGGTAACTGTAACGGAATATAGTTACTCATATTTTGTATTTTAAATACATAATGGCACGTGTATTCTGTTACTCCCCAACACTGCCCGTATATGTCTTAACTCCTCTAAATGGTTCACCATATACAAGCATAGGTGAGCCCATAAATAGCAGGAAGTAAACTTTCCTTATCAAATAAGGAAACCAGACTCTTACATGCAATGTGCCTGCAGTTAAACACTATAGTTAATAGCATCCCCCACCATCCTAGATGTAGGGGAGGAACAGAAAAATATCTGAACATGCAGTTCAGGACAAGGTTTACAGTTTTAAGCACAACAATGACAACTTTTATCAAACTCACTCCAACAATTACTCTGTTGCGACATTTTGCCCCAGACCTGACCCTGTTCCTCCTGAACTTCCTCCTTTCATGGCCTTTGCTTTCCGTATTATTTTAGGTGTTTCTTCCATTTCTTTCATTCTGTTTTGCTTATCTACTACGTAATTGTATTTTATCGGCACCATTCTACTTGTACTCCTCATACTTCTTTCTATGAAGAATGAGGAGAATATTTCCATGATCCATCTTTGTTTTGGCTCTTGGTCTTCCTGCACCAGCACTGGTGTCTTTCAGGGCCCCTTTCTGCTTTTGTTGTCTTCATCTGCTAGTCGAATCTATAATTCGAATTTGAGTCTTAAATGTAGAAAACAAAAGGGTTTGGGGTTGTTTTTTTTACATTCTTGTTGGACAAGACAGTGGATATGATGTCCAATGAGACCATCAACAGTCAAAGAAATCTTTCTCAGTGTTCTGCAAAATTCTACTGTTACTCACTGACTTGAGATAAAATCTACTCAGCTGCTTTGAGAATAGCTTCTAACTGGTTCCTCCGATAACAGGATGGCTAGCTGGTTAAATTGATCCTGCAACCCAGAAACCTTTCTGCTTCTGCTCTGATTCAGCAGGGACAGGTAGAGTTTTTCACATTCTGATCAAATTACTGCTTGTGGCAGTAATTTGATCAGAATGTCATGCAGTAGATAAATAACAATGAGAAGCTAAGATACTACTATTCAACCTGTAATTTTTATATTTTGTATTTTCCAGAATTATATTAATAAAATTCTAAAGTTAACCAGCAACACTGAGAACAACACTCAGTTGATTTATGACAGTGACTCACAAATTTATTTTAAAGGAGAAAACTAGGTTACAAAAAAAAGGACTGTTAGGGTTCCTGGGTCGTTGATCCAGTGGTTTCTGTTTTGTACCCTTTATTTGTGTTCTCTTCTTAGTTTATTTTTGTGAAGGTTTTGGTTTCTGTTTTGCATTTCTATTTTTTTCCCCAGTTCTTGGTGTTTGATTATGTAGTTCTCAGGTTTTGGTTTCCTTATTCCCTCCATTCTATGTCCAGTCAGTGTCTGTGTCTGCCCTGTTCCCATGTCTCTGTTGCAGTGTCTGCTTGTGAGTTCAGTCTGTGTTTCCTGTTTTACTTTGATAGTCTCGTGTTAATGTGTCTGGTTTTGCTTCCTTTGTCGTTAGGCCTGATTTGCCCCAGCTGTGTTTCCCTCCTGTTTTCCATTCTGTGATTGCTCCCTCTGCGTATTTAAGCCCTGTGTTTCTCTGTGTCCGTGTTGTGATCTACCCCCTGTCCGTATGCCCGCCTGCGCTTAGGGTCCTCCATATTACCACTCCTGCCTGCACACAGCCTTCACATGACAGACAAATGCTTACAGTTCTAGAGGTAATGGCACAAAAGTCACAAATCTAAGTTTATTGTCAGGTTGCGAGTCATACATGTGAAGGCAATGCAAACAACTCAGTCAAGGGGAAGGTAAAGGTTGGAGCAAAGATGGATTCATTCACCAAGAAAGTGAAGAAAAGTAAATTTCACAAACAAAAACATCATTGGCAACAAGAGAAGTTACAAAAATGCATACATACAGATATCTCTAACTATAATGAGTGAATACTGAATTTCCCAAAAGCCCACAGTATGAACTCAAACTAATAAATCACTACGATAACATAAGAAGGAAATTCAATGTCCACTGGATCTCCTGTTTGAAAACAGGTAGCAGGTAGTTGGCCGTCCGACTGCGGTCTGGGGTGTGGGGCCTCCCTGCTGCTGCGGAGTCGGGGCGGTCTGCCTCTCCCCACCGCAGGGAAAAGGGTAACACCACCTGGGTCTGGGTGCA